ATTTAATTAAATAGATTCCAAAATGAGTTTATTATGATGCTTAATATTTTCATACTAATTTATTGTAATATAATAGGCCCAGTTCTGTTACACTGACCCCAAAATTTATGAAATAACTTAATTACTAGGTTCTGGAAATGAGTTGTTTGTGAATTTGTAGGTTTGGCATCATTCGGGTAAAAATCGAAACTCCTTCGGTTCGATACGTTTGTTTTTACGTACGTATAGGCACGTAAAGATACGTATCACGTATCCGTAAACGCAAGTGAATTTCTCACTGCGCAAGCGTACATAAACGATACGTTTACGTCTACGTCTTTGGCCGTGCATTAACTGTCTAATATAATAGCAAATAATATTATTCAAGGCAATATTTTAAACAAATTCAATGACTAATTTACTTTGCATTCTTTTATTTACTACATATTTTATTTATCATAACTTAATAAATATGTCTATTTTTGCAAAAAGCTCCATTGAAGTGTTAGCAAAAAAGCGATTGAGACTGGAACTCTAATTCGTATATGGCCTTGTTTGATGCGTTGCGCAATCATTTGATAAGTTTCAAAAATGTTTTAATTCTTTTGTGCAACGGGACTGTTTGCGTAACGCGTTGTGTTGTTCTTTCATTCAAATTCTTTGATTTCTTTTTCGTTTTCTGGTAGCATCGATATCATTTAGGGCATCCCTAGCGGAACTGGTTGCAGTTAAGGGAGAAAACATCCCTAAATGGGCGGTCATCACGGTTTTTCTGCCGAGGAGCAAGGGGAAAGGCACCACCTACCTGCTGAGCCTTATCCAGGGTCAGAACTTCAATGTAAGGACATCGAGTTCGCGAGTCATCAACTCGAGGGAGGAGGGTCATGGCCAGGTCCTCACAATAGGAATTGATCTCAAATCCAAGGAGGCAATAGAGAAAGAGGGACATATCCTCTATTATAGATACGGGACAACACCGGTATAAGGTCTAAGGAGAGACCAAGTTAAAGAGATAGAGAAAATGGAGACAGATCCTCCAGATACACCTCACGGGTATCTCAGCCGGACGCAAGCTCCTCGACTATGAAGGGCACGGAGGGCCAAACTCCAAGCATGAAATGGTGTGTACCCTCATAGGAAGAAGATCTGTTGTCAGAGGAGGATGGGAAATACCCTGTCCCCTTTACAACAGGGGTATGTTGGGTTATAGACTGTGTGATGTGTTATAATTCAAGGCAGTAGACAATAGATCTTTAAAATCGCAGTGATTAACCCCCCGTCTCACTCATTTTACATTCTACATTCTAGGGCACATAAGATTATAATTGACGCAATGGCAATTGGAGACATGGCACAACTTATAATATAAAGTTTGGTCAAGTGTATGGGTGATGCAGTTATGCAATGCAACGTTGCACATCGCTTTGTTGCGCAATTTTTTTGATAAGGTATAAACCGCTTAAGACACGGATTGGCAAAAAAAGCGGAGATAAGCAGCTAGTACTGAATAAAACCCTGGTATCATTTATATATTTGTTTTTATTATTTTAAGCCAACACCAGAAGATTCCAAGTGAAGTACTGCAGTGTAGTTTATGTTACATAATGAGTTTAAAAAAAAATAAAAAATTAGTTATATAATTTATTACTTTAATTTCCTCCCTTGCAAATATGTCGTTGAACATAACTAATCGTGCCACGATTATCTTTTCGTTATTTTTTCGTTTTCCTTTCTTCGTTTTGTGTCCCAACAATTACTATGTTAGAATATTAATGAAATAGAATAATAATAAATTTAAGTTATGTCATACAGACTTAGAAAGACTACTAGAAATAAGATAGAATAAACTAAAAATATAAATATATAATAGATAAATTTTGTTTTACAACGAAAAGGAGAAAATAATTATTCATAACCAAAATGCCTCTATCATATAAATAGGCATTAATTTTTGCAGAAATTCTTGGGAATGCAGTTCAGTTTAAAAAATACACAATTATATCTATGTCATATTATATTTTTTTATTATTTAGTTATAAAAAAAATTGAAGAAAAAGAAGAAAATAAAAAATAGAGAAACTGATGAAGACCAGATTGTGGTCGATACGTTTTTATAACTAAACTTGTTGAAACCTGGCGCATCCGCCACGACATCAGGAAAAAAATACTTTTTATTTTTTCTTTAATTAAATGAAAAACAAAAAATCCGGCGACGACAGTTTTTAGAAGAGACAATTTGCTACATTTTAGTAAAAAAGTAACTTTCTAGAGCAAGTCGTTACTTCAGTAGAGACGACACAGATAAACATTAGCATTTTATATTATGTAGATTATTAGAAAAATATAATGTGGCATAAATATAATTGTCTATTATTTAAACTGAACTGCATTCCCAATAATTTCTGCATAATTTATAAATATTACTGTTCAAGGAATTAAGCCAAATTAATATAGTTATTTATATTACATTATATGTATATTTTTCATTCTCTTATATAAATTATGCCTCAAATTATGCACCAAATTAATCTATATTAATCTACCGTGACTGACGTAAGGTTTTGTATTATTTAGAATTTCGAAGTTTGATGGATGTCGATAAACGTAAAGGTGAATTAAATAAATAAAACAAGAATATGTTTATACAAAATGTATTTATATTTAAAATATCTATACACAGAGTACGCCAACATATAGATATCTTATTTCATACGTTTTTTAAAAGAAAGTATACAAATAAAATCAACTAATCGTAGCTGCATTTTAGTTAGTTCAAAATCTACTAGAATAATATTTGCTCAATAATACAAATAGTACTGAAAATATGTTATTAAAACATCAAATTAAGCCGTTATTATATTAATTCAAACATTGCTCCAAACATAAAATCAACAATTATATCTATACAAAATTACAACTTAATGGATATTCGGTGTTATTTAACATAAATGCTGTAAAGTATAGTTCAAACTATACGTCCCCAAATTTAATTTAGATTACACAAAAAGATATACTCAAACATACACTAAAACTGATGCTCATATTGAGAACAATGCATATCTTAACATATCTATAAGTCCATTTTTTTATTAATTTATGGATACAATACTACATACAAATACTATACTATATTTTACGACTCAGGTAAGATTTCGACAACCGATGACAGAAAAAAGGCAGATATCGTCCATACACTATAAGTCCATTTATTTCATTAAAAAAATTCTTACATTTTTAAGTTAACTATGGATGGGTGTATATATTACGCTCAATAGTCGAATTTGGGCAATGCCCGAAAAAAATACGCAAATCTAGTTTTGAGGAATATTTCCCATACCCGAAAAATTAATTTTATTCGATTTTTTTGGCGTATAATGTGATTTGATTGCATTGGTTCCACTCTTTTTTGTTGGATTGGCTTAGTTATTTGGCGAGTTGGTTAGCGTGGTTATTTGGAGGGTGTTAATTCATTGGTTAGTTGGTTTTTCGGGTTTGGTAAATATTCCTTGCTCAAAATTAGATTTGCGTATTTTTTTCAAACTAAAATATTAACGTTGTTTTGGTTCAAATTTATTAGGTACGTATGTTTGGTGTGTTTAAATTTAGGAGGTGGGGAAATCGAGGGAAAGTTAAGTGTAGACCCAGAGGACAGTTTGTATTTGGTTCCCAGAGAGTTGTATCAGCCACCGATAAAGTTTATATATCAGTTCGTATATGACGCTAAAAACATATGACACTAAATTACCTTTAACAAAACAGCCATTTAATAATGACTCTGAGTTTTTGATCTAATTGCATAGTTAATTTAAAAAAACCTTGAATAAAACGATAAACGTTATTGTATTATTAATTACAGATACATAGTAGGCATATTTTGTAATAATCTTCAATTTGTGAAAAATGCAACAGTTTAAGCTTTTTTGGAAATCAATTTAATATTGAAAATGTATATTTATATCGCTACATAGGCTACTAACTCAAGTGTTTATGCGAAACTAATTTATTTGAAAACAGTGTGGGGCGATAATTTAGTAAGCACAATACACTATCGAGTTCTATTGAGTAATAATTCAGGTAGTTTCTACCTATTGTTTATGACTTCACCCTTTACTTCAGAAAGTACAATGAGGTCGTAAATTGTAATGATGTGTAGACAGAAGATTTGCGGTCAAATATAGTACCAGTAAACCAGTGGTGGCTCGTGGTCATTTATAAATGTGAAGCAAAATAATATCATGGGGCATTAGAAAAGCGGCGATTTTTTGCAAGGTAGGTATTAACCATTTTCCATTACTGTGTTACTTGTATAGCATGCAAAAAATAAACAATGCTGGCTCTCATTTATTATCTACTACTTTGATTGGCCAAATGATCTGGACCGATCGATTGAAACCAATCGATTTGACAGTAATTGTCACTTGTTCTCTATATTTTATCTATGGAGTGTAGAGGTAAGGAGAAATAACTCTTACGGGACTTTTATTGAAAAAGTGGTCACAAAATGGGAAGAATAAGGGTTCGCCAAATAACCACAGTGGCGCTAAAAGCGCATGAATCTAAAAAATGAAAAGTAACCATAGATAAGAGAATAAAAATAAATATAACCAAACATTACCCAAAAAAATTTGTTTATCAATATTTTGTGCTTTATTTATTATTTAACAATGGTTAAAGTGTGTGTGGTGCGAAGTTGATTGAATAGCTGATGGAAAAATAAAGAGCAAAGGCAAAGCCAACGGTATGTAAAATACATAATATAATTCAGTATTGTATTATTTGTATTATACGTAAAAATTAGAGTCAATCAAAAGTGTAGTAAACATTTTTCGTAAGATTATTGACATACATGTTACAAAGTATATTTTTACAATCCTTTTTATAAAGTTACTACCTAAATAAAATTTATTTTTAAAGTTTGACAGACATGCACAAATTGTTGGCATTTTTTTAAACAAGTAAAAGTAGGAAATACATAAAATTGTAGGTACTTTCAAGAAATATTGTTAACTGTAAGTGTATTTTAATAATCTATCAAAAATCAAAATCATCAGGATAATATTAGGTATTGATTTTCAGACAAGAATTAGGTTACAGTGATGGTCAAAAGCATTTAGATATTGCTTTGAAATCTACAGATAAGGTATGGCAGTTTCATTTTAAAGAACAAGATGTTAAAGTTTGTGATACAATTGTCATCAGAAATACTGTCCACTTCAGTATTTACATAGGAAAATATTGGAAGATGAAGCTCTACCTACTGCCTCAGGTTAATTTAAATTCTGAATTGCAACAACAGCAACAAGCAAGAAGGGCACCATTAAATGAATATTATACACATAAGTATTATTATACACAGAAAGAGTAATGTTATACACATAAATATTAACATTTTGTAGAGCAACAACACAATACAAAACCAAAATATGAACACCAGCAACTAAAACAGGAACCATTAAATGAATATTATACACATAAATACAATTTGATCGAATAAAAAACGGCGTCAGCGATGCCTATGAAATGAAGATTGCTGTCATTTTATATGTAAAATGATATGGAGAATGTCATCGAGATGTTCATTTCCAAGCCAACTGGACGCCGTGTTTTTTCGATCATACAGTATTATTATACACATAAATAATAATATTATACACATAAATAATAATATTATACACATAAACATCCCTTGATAAAGATCAACATTTTGTAGAGCAATAACATCATCAAATAATGGAAAGAATGGACCCTACTGCTCAAATCAAAAACAAAATTTCAGCATTACTACTTTATTGGTTATATCAATAAAAGAAATTATTGAGTTTATGAGTCTACATCCTACAAGCAAGCAGATCTATCACATAATTTTAAATGAAGATTTATCTATTATAGTATGTATAAACACTTTGCATCTTTTATTCAATGTTGTAATGAATTAACAAATTGCAGGTAATTTATTCTAATAACAAAAAAAAACTTTGGATCAAAAAATATTTTCTTCTGATGAGGTTTATGAATATTAAAGTCAGTTGAAGTTTGGCCATTATGTGTTGGTATACAATTTATTTATGATGTTACAGTAGTTAAACCATCCGAGTACAAAACATGTTTAAAATACACTATTCTTAATGAATGGTAACTATCAACTTGAGAGGAAGCTAAGAGAAAGGTTCTATTGGGTGGATTACAAGGAAAAGGGACATATACATGAGGATCTGGAAGGGCTATAACATTACGTCTCAAGCCATGGAACAATAGGAAACGAAATTCAAAGGAAAATATTACAATACGTGGGATGCAAATTATAGTGCACAGAATTGAGAAAAAGAATTATTAAAAGTAGTTATTGTTACGATAGTTAAACCATCCGACTACCAAATATATTTAAAATCCATTATTCTGAATGAATAGCAACTACCAACTTGGGAGGAAGCTGCTAGAACGATTCTATTGGGTGAACTACAAGGAAGACATGAGCATCTGGAAGGGCTATAAAATTATATTAATATTTCACGTTCCAAGCCATGTTGGAATAGCTGGGAGTGAAAAAGAAGATAATACTGCACAGGATTCTTGTCTAGAAGTAGTTGATATTAAGGTAGTTAAGCCATCCGACTATCGAACATTTAAAATCCACTATTCTGAATAAATGGCAACTACGATGGCAAAACGTTGTAATAAATATTTGTACAGTATAAAATTATATTATATTGGCTTAATTTTTATACTAAATAAAATGTGTTACGTTATTTTTGAACTGCCATTATATTTATTTAAATTCCATATCATCAATTAAACTTTTAATAAAGTTTTCCTAATTATAATTAACATTAATTTTAAACTAAAGCTTTTTCATCTTGAATGAGATTTACGAAATAACTTATGAGAAACAATAAAAAGAGGCTCTGATATCTGAATAATCAATAATAAAACCACATATTGACTTACGTTTATACTAAATAAATGTAGGTATGAAGTTATTTTAAAGCTGCATTACATTTATTTTAAACCCATCACCAATTATTACTTTAAATAAAATTTGTCTTAATTATAATTACCATTAATTTTAAGCTAAAACGATAAGATTATTTTTTCGTCGTCTTGAATGACATTTGCGAAATAACTTATGAGAAACAATAAAAAAAGGGCCTAGTCTATTGCTGCTGAATAAAAATCTGTAATTTATTTCATGCAACATGAAAATAAAATTGTATTTTTTTGAAACCCGCGGCTTCGCGTTTGCTTCACGTCAAATATTTATGTCTTGAATCATCTGTTCTAAAATGTTCGGCGCATGTCTTAAATTGTAGAATCTTGCTACAGCAGCGCCATCCTAATTCTTCCCTTTTTTGACCATTTTTTAATACACAGAGTTATTTCTCCTTACCTCTACACTCCATAATTTTATCATACGATTGAATAAAATAGCGTCAAAGTTTGGTTTGGTTTGGTTACAAATAAACTGAGTCACGTGTAGAGGTGGGCATAGATTGAACGAGTCGTTCATTTGAACGAGTATTAAAAATTATTCGTGAGATTCGATTCATTGCTTGCAATCCGCTTCGTTCGATTGGCCAGCACGGATACATAACATTTGAACGATGAGCCGTAAAAAAGAATCGTGAGAATTGAATCGCATCACAATGCGATCGTTCGTTCCTACGGCGCGGCGCGGCGCCGGCGGTGATATAAGCATAAATGCAGGCACCAATATTTAGACTTGAACAAAAGCCCTAAACAAACATCATGGGCATAAAATACAAACGATAAGAAAGTTATTTCCAAGAAAAACTTATTTATACTGTGCTTAGTACGGGAGTATCTGTAAGGTTATTTAATTTTCACGTTAATATTTTTGTTAAAATAATATTACCTACTATTAAATGTCGGACGCAAAGACGAAATCGTGTTTTTATGCAACTCCAAATAAATATTGTTGGCCTCTGCTTAATGTGATAAAAAAACGGCATCAGCGATGGTTATAAAATAAAGATCGCTGTCATTTTATACGTAAAATTATATGGGGAATATCACCAATTTTCAAGTCAACTGGACGCCATTTTTTTTTATTATGCAGTATTATATCCTATTTATTATGATTATTAATTATTAATTATATATTTCTTTTCACAACTGTCACTGCGTTAGTCGGTAATGACCAACAAATCGGCTATTTACGGCATAAATCTGTCAGTTTGTGTTTTTAGCCTAAAAATTTCCTAACTATGTTACACGTACTAAGTATGGTCGCTTTCTGCAGGTTTATATATATTTTTGATGGGAGGTCTAGTATTTTTATTGCTTCTATGAGATTTTTTGGAATCACTCCTGTGGTGGATATAATAACTGGTACTATGGTAATTTTTTCTTGTCTCCACTGTTCCTTTATTTCGTTAGCCAGATCCATGTATTTTTCGATTTTATTTCGGTATGTTGCTTGCAAATTGTTATTGTTTGGAATAGCTATATCTATAAGGAACGTATTTTTTTTAAATTTATCCGTCAGTATTATGTCCGGTCTGTTGTCTTCAATGTGTTTATCTGTTATTACACTCTTATCCCAATAGATTCTATGTGTTTCGTTTTCTAGGACTGGTTCGGGTATGTAGTTGTAGTAAGGTGTTTTATCTGCTTTTAAGTTGTACTTCTGTATCAGTATCTTGTGAATTATTTTACCTACATTATCGTGTCTCTGTTTATAATCTGTTTGTGCTATCATGCTACACGCACCCGTGATATGTTGGATACTTTCGGCAGTTTTTCCACATCTTCTACACTTATCTGTTAGAACTGTGCGATCCTTTATGATGTATTTTCTGTAGTTAAGTGTATTTACAACTTGATCTTGAATAGCGACCATAAAAGCTTCAGTCTCCGAGAAGAGGTCTCCCACTTTCAGCCATGCGTTTGACGCTTCAAAGTCAACGTACTCCTGACTGGTTTCATTAGGATGACGTCCATGAAGAGCTTTTAGTTTCCATGATGTCAGCTTATGGAGGTTATCTTTTTGTTCAAGGTGGTAATTTTGTTGTTTTAATTTCAGTGGTGTGATATCTGTGTCTGCTTGTACTATAGCTTGGTGGATCTGTGAACTCTGCGCTTTAATATAGAAGTATTGTCTTAAATTATGTATCTGTTTATTGTGCATATTTTTGATATCTATGAGCCCTTTACCTCCTAGTGCTCTGGGGTAGTATTGTTCTTCAGTACATGATTTTGGGTGGTGTTTACGGTGTTTTGTTAGTGTTGTTCTTACTAATCTTTGCAGGTTTTCAAGGTCTGTTTGGGACCAGTGAATGATACCGAATGAATATGTAAGTACTGGGATAGCAAATGTGTTTATTGCTTTAGTTAGGTTGTGACTGTTTAAGTATGTTCTTGCGCTGAGATCTATTCTATTCTTGAATGTTTGTTTTATTCTTTCTTTGGCTGTTCCTTGCTGTATTATTTTATTTTGTTCAATACCCAAGTACTTATATATATATCCTCTTCCTTCATTGCTGCTATAATGCCACCACCGTCTAGTTCAAAATTTTCCATCACTCTTTTACCACGATTTATGCTTATGCTCTTACATTTGTCAAACCCAAACTCCATGTTGATGTCTCTGGTAATTCTGTCGGTAGTTTTGATCAGGGCTTCTAGTTGTTTTTTGTTAGAGACGTACAATTTAATATCGTCTATATATATTGAATGAGAGCATTTTATTATTAATTATTATTATAATATTATTAATAAAGTGTTAAAAAACAAATGAAAAAACTGTATATTTCTTTTTCTGGTCCCTTAAATAATTGTCCTACCAAATTATTGCCGTTACGATCTTGTTTTTATGAAACATAAATTGTGCATGTGGTTCGTTCAAATAAACCAGTAGTTCCCAAACTTATTTTTCTCGTGGGCCACTTTCAAAATTTTACTGGTTTCGGTGGACCCCCTGCTGCTACATTTCTACCACATTCTTAAAGTCGCCAAAAAATAAAAATTGTGTCACTTCTGAGTTCTGTCCCTATATTCCGATATGTAAAATAAAAACGAAAAATGGTACATTTTATATCACTTTATTTATTAAAAAGAATAGAATTACAAGAAAAATATTAAGGTAATATAGGTTCAGGTCATAATTTTAATTAATGGGAAGGATGTATCTGATGGAGTGTCAGCAAACGATCAATGTTTGGCTTTATTTTTGTGAGCAATAACCGCAAATCCCCCCGCTCTGTGATGTTTAATTTGCTCTTTTTTTGTTAAGAGGTTTGTAACGGCACTAAAACTCCTTTCGACAAGGTATGACGAGGGAAAAGCTATTAAAAATTTCCTTGCGATTTCCCACAGTCCAGGATATTTTTGCAGCCAAAATGTTGGGTAGCCTTTTCTAAATTTCACCTTCAGCTCCTCATTAGTGCTTAGCTCG